AGGCAATCCACTCATCTCAGCCTCCCAAAGGCGGGGGATTACAGGCTGAGCCACCGAGCCTGGCTATTTTTAGCTTTTTATTTTATTTTATTTTAAAGATGTGGGGTACAATTCAGGGTTAAGTATACAAATAATCATTATGCATGTATCCTTGTTGATGAGGTGTGTTCCCCCACCCCCATCCCAACCCTGGGCAGATTCCCACTACTGCCACTCCTTTTCTTATGGTATTACGATAATTGTTCAAGGTCTGCTTATAAGTGAGAACATGTGATACTCAGTTCTTTGTTTCTGTGATAGGTCATTCAGCATTATAGATTCTAAGTCCATCCAGGTTGCTGTAAAGTTCATAATTCTGTCTGTCTTTATGGCTGCATAATATTCTGCCATGTACCATATTTTTCTTTAATCTGGTCCTCTTTCTATGGGCAGCACGGTTGGTTCCATGTTTTTGCTATTGTGAACAGTGCTGCAATAAATATATGTGTGCAGGTATCTTTTTCATAGAATGATTTGAGCTCTTCCGGGTATATTCCCAGTAGGGGGATTGTGGGGTCGAAGGGAATGTTGATTTTTAGATTTTTTAGGAGTCGCCAAACTGTTTTCCATAGAGGTTGTTTTAGTTTACACTCCCACCAACAGTGTAGAAGTGTTCCCTTTTTGCCGCACCCTCACTAGCATCTGTTGTTTTTTTAAGTCATTGATGATAGCCATCCTGACTGGAGTTAGGTGGTATCTCAGTGTGGTTTTAATTTGCATTTCTTTGATGACTTGTAAGACTAAACATTTTTTCCTGTATCTATTGGCTGCTCTTACATCTTCTTTTGAGAAGTGTTTATTTATATCTTTTGCTCACTTTGTAATGGGATTTTTTTTGTGTTTTTCTTTTCAGCACGTTTGATTTCCTTATGTATCCTAGATGTTAGGCCTTTGTCAGACATACAGTTGGCAAATATTTTTTCCCAGTCTGTGGGCTGTCTCCTTGCTCTCTTGATGGTTTCTTTGACTTTGCAGAAGCTTGACAAGGTCCCACTTGTCTATCTTCTCTTATGGCATGGGCACTTTGGGGTTTTGATCAGGAATTGCTTGCCAGTTCCAATGTCCATAAGGATGTCTCCTGAATTTTCTAAACTTCTTGTAGTTTGAGGTTTTACATTTAGGTCTTTGATCCATTTAGAGTTGATTTTTGTGTATGGTGATAGGTTTTGTTTTAATCTTTTGCATGTGGTCAGCCAGTTTTCCCAACACCATCTACTGAATAGGTTCTCCTCTCCCCAGTGATTGGTGATGGAGGCTTTGTTGAAGATGAGTTGGTTGAAAAATTGAGGTTTTGCTTCTGGAATCTCTGTCCTGTTCCATTCTGGAATCTCTATCCTGTTCTGCCAGGCTGTTTTGAATATTGTAGCTTTATAATAAAGTTTAAAGTCTGGTAGTGTGATACTTCCCACTTTGTTTTTTTTTTTTTTGCTGAGGATTGTTTTGGCTATTCATGGTTGTTGATGTTTCCATATGAATTCCGGTATTGTCATTTCCAGGTCTTAGAATAATGCTGCTGTTAATTTAATAGATATTGCATTAAATCTGTAGATTGCCTTGGATAGAATGGACATCTTAACAATGTTGATTCTTCCATCCATGGGCATGGATTATTTTTCCATTTGTTTGTGTCATCTTTGATTTCTTTGAGCAGTGTTTTGTAGTTTTTGTTGTAAATGTCTTTCATATCTCTGATTAGGAAAATGCCAAGGTATTTCATTTTTGTGTGTGTGTGGCTATTGTGAATGGGATTATGCTTTTTATTTGGATTTCTGTTTATTATTGGTGTATAGAAATGTGACTGTCTTTTGCACATTTATTTTATACCTTGAAACTTTGCCAAAATCCTTTTTCAGTATAAGGAGATTTTTGACAGATTCTCTTGGGTTTTCAAGGTATAGAATCATGTCATCTGCAAAGAGGGATAACTTGAATTTCTCTTTTCCTATTTGGATACCACTAATCTCCTTCTCTTGTCTGATTGCTCTAGCTAGGACTTTAAATACTATGTTGAAAAGGAGGAGTGAGAGTGGGCCTCCTTGTCTTGTTCTGTTTCAGGGAAATGTTTCCGATTTCTGTCTGTTTAGCAGTATGTTGGCTGTGGGTTTCTTGTAGATGGCTCTTACTATTTTGTGGTATGTTCCATCTATGCCTAGATGTCCAAGGGTTTTTATCAAGAAGGGGTGCTGGATTTTATCAAAAGCTTTTTCTGCGTCTAATGATATAATCATGTGGGTTTTGTCTTTATATCTGTTGATGTATTTAATTGTGTTTTGGGGCTTGTGGATGTTGAACCAGCCTTGCATCCCAGGGATAAAGCGTACTTGGTCATGGTAGATGATTAGAGCTAATTCTTAAGAAGATAGGGTATCAGCTACAGATTTCCTTGCAGGCTTGGTGCAAAAATAAGGGGACACCACTGATTCATGGTGAACATTGCCAGTGTTTAATTTATTGTTGTAGAATGATGTCCAGTTCTTGATAAAAACACTCAAGGTGTTCAGACATTGCCCTTGTCATTCCTTCTGGCAGTGTGTGACCAGTGGCTTTTGTAATTTCTCTTGGCATTCTTCTTGGAGATGTGATTCATTTTTCTATGTACATGTCAATTTTCTCACATTATATTATTGTGTAATTGCTGATTTTCTCTGCAAATTTTGTGCATAGATAGCCAAGGAGCAATTTTACAGTTTGGTGTTTTCTTGTATAGTGTTTAAGTCTGAATCTAGCTGTTTGCAAATCTTTTTGTGTCTGATTAACCTTATCTAAAAATTCATGACCCAAACCAAGTCTGCTAAATTATATCTCTGATGTTGTTTTATTTTTATTTCTTCTTTAGTTTTAAGACAATTAGTGATGAGCATAATAAAATAACAAAATGATGCATTTTGATATCAAATATATTTAATAATCAGTAAACTTTCGTGTGTAAGCCAAAGTTTGTACTTACAAACATTACACCATACAGTTTTCCCTTTGTTTAATTCTAAACACAAACACCTTCAGTGGTTTCACAGAACAACTTGACTTCCTCTTTTCCTATTTGAATACCCATGATCTCTTTTCTCTTGTCTGACTACTATAGCTAGGACTTCCAAAACTGTGTTGAAAAGAAGGGGTGCTGAATTTTATCAAAAGCTTTTTCTGAGTCTAATGATATAATCATGTGGATTTTGTTTTTACATCTGTTGGTGTATTGAATTACATTTATGGTCTTGCGAATGTTAAACCAGCCCTGCATCCCTTGGGATGAAGCTTACTTGATCATGGTGGATGATTTTTGAGATGTGTTGTTAGATCTAGTTTGCTAGGATTTTGTTGAGAATTGTAGCATCTATGTTCATCAAGGATATTGGTCTGTAGTTCTCTTTCTTTGTTGCATCTTTACCTGGTTTGGGTATCAATGTGATGTTAGCTTCATAAAGTGATTTGGGGAGAGTTCCATCTTTCTCAATCGTCTGGAATACTTTCAATAGGATTGGTATCAGTTCCTCTTTGTATGTTTTGTAGAATTCTGCTGGAAAGCCATCTGGT